TTGGACCCTTCTTCCTCTATAAAAGAAGAGCTCCTCTTCCATTGCAAGGGTTCCAACACTTTTGTCTAGGACAAAAACATATATCTCTCTTGATATCTCTACATCCAAGCCTCCAAAGTGCTTGGTTCTTGACCCCTTTGCACCACAACTCCTAAGCACACACCTCCACCACTCATCTAAGGTTCTTGGAGGGTCTTGTGGGGACTCAAGACTTGGTTTTGACTCAGAAAAATCTGCTGGAGTGCTGGTTTTGAAGAAGGTCTTCAAGGGTGAGTTTCTAAGCCTTAAATTCCCCTTTCTTGCACAAGCTTTTAGCCTATCTTGCATGCTGTTTTGGGCTTTGTCATAAACTGAAAAAGTCTTATTTTTGAGTGCTTTAAATAGTTGTTTAAGATCACTTTGTTGTTTGGGATTGTTTGACCCCTCTAAGGCCTTGTTTGGCACTCATTTTGTGCTATTTTGGTGAGCTCCGGGACCATCTTGTTTGGGCCTCCTCACCACTAAAATCTTGAGGGATTTCAATGGTGGGGATGGTGCTTTAAGGTCCTAAGAAGGAGAGGGCTATCCCCTCTCTTTATTGTTTTCAAAATATGCCATTTTAGCCTCATGTGTGAGCACCATTCTTGAGTTCATGTTGGCCATGTCTTAAGTGTTATTTGTGCTTATTTTGCCATGATATAGCACTGTTTTAAGTTGGTTTAGACACACCATGCATGCTTAGCATACTTGTCTTGTAATGCCATGAAATTGCCTTAACATGCTTTGTGCTTTGGACCTTGTTTCTAGCATGATTTTAGCTTAGTTTTGTGAAGCTTTTATGCATATTTTGGCATGATTTAGGTCTGATTTTGGTTGTTTGGGTCATCCATGACTTGCTTTGTATAGCTATCATGCAATCTAGCTTGTATGGTTTGAGTGTTGGCTCCTCTACCATGCTCTATTTGCATTATTTCAGTGGTTTGGCACCATTAGTTATGATATTTCAGTCCTTGCTCCATGCTTGTATGCTTGCATTTGATGCCCCTTTAATGCTTTAAAAGGTTGGTGTTTCATGCCCCATGTTTGGACCTTTGTGTATGCTTCCTTGTATAGGCCATTTAGATGCCATCTAAGTGTGTTTTGGGCCTTGTCTCGACCTACATTGGGACTATTTTGAGTCCCCTCGGCCCTTTGAGACTTGCTTCATATAGCCATGGTTTAAGCCCCTTGGCTTGTCTTGAGTTTTGGACATAGTTGCATGCCTTGCTTGCATTGATAGGTTGATTTGGCATCATCCCTCATGTATTTTTCAGAGTTTAATGTGCTTGCCATTTGTCCATAATAGTTGCTTTTAAATGTGTTTAGGTCCGATGTCAAAATCAGACTCTATTGAGTATACAAAATAATCATCAGAAATTGCTAACTTTCTAGCTCGTGAGGATCTTCTTAATTCTGTAGTCTCAATTGGGACTTGAGCTACAGGCTCCATGTTGATTTGGTCCTCTTGTGGTGGAAGTTCTTGAATTTGTTGATTTTCAAGGATATCAGGTTGATTATCTTGAAAGACAACCAATTCAACTCTATTCACAGGTGTTGTATTTGGATCCCGTGATTTCTTCCACTCTATCTTTCGAGGGTAACTCCCACTAGAGTTAACTTCATCAACAAACTTAGCATTTCTGGCTTCAACAATTCTAAGTGAATTTGAAGGACAATAAAATCAATAACCCTTGGAGTTTTTCGCATAGCCTATGAAAAAATCACTAACTGTTCTGGGGTCCAATTTCTTTAAATGTGGGTTATACACCCTCACTTCAATTGGACAACCCCAAACGTGTAAGTGTCTTAAACTTGGCTTCCATCCTTTCCATAACTCAAACGGTGTTTTGGGAACAACCTTGGATGGAACCCTATTTAAGATATACACGGCGGTTTTCAAAGCTTCACTCCATAAATTTATAGACATATTAGAATAACTAAGCATGCTCCTTTCCATGTCCGTAAGTGTTCGGTTCCTTCTTTCAGCAACACCATTTTGTTGTGGTGTGCCAGGCATTGAATATTATGCAATAATGCCTTCTTCCTTAAGGGACTTAGCAAATGGACCTGGTAATTGTCCCAATTCTGTGTACCTCCCATAATATTCTCCACCCCTGTTTGACCTCACAATTTTAATTTTCTTTTCTGTTTGTTTCTCTACCTCTGCTTTATAAACTTTAAAGGCATCAAGTGCCTCGGCCTTATCAAACAAGAGGTAGAGATACATGTATCGTGTGAAGTCATCAATAAATGAGATAAAATATCTCTGACCATTCAGACAAAGTGGCGTAAATGGTCCACAAATATCAGTGTGTATGATTCCAAGAATTTCCTCACTCTTTTTGGCACCTTTACTGGTCTTGTTGGTCAAGAATGGAATACGAATACCAAATTTGGTAAAATCAAGAGTCGGAAGGACTTCATCATTAACCAACCTCTTTATTCTCTCAATGGAGATATGTCCCAATCTCCTACGCCAAAGAATAGAGGACTCATCAACAATATTACGCGTAATGCCAATATCACCATGCAAGGTTAAAAGATTTTGTTCAAAAACATGATCCAAATTTAATTTGTACAAACCATTAATTAAAGTACGAAATCTTACAGAAACAGAGTCTTTAAACAAACTAAAATTTGCACCAACAAACTGAAATTCAAATCCAAATGGTACTAGTCTAGAAACATAAATTAAATTTTTTGAAAAAGATGGAATGTAAAATGTGTTTTCAAGATCCAAAACAAAGCCATTTTTAAAACAAGTCTGAAAGTTCCAACAGCTTTGACGTGTAAACGCATCCCATTGCCAGAATAGATGCCTTGTTCACTTCCCGTCGGTTTCCTTAGGCTGAGGAAGCCTTGCATGGTATTAGCATTATGAATTGTAGAACCCGAATCAACCCACCAATCATATTAATGAGTATTAACAAAATTAGATTCATAACACACAAGAGATATGAGATTATCTTTCTTCTCAATCTCTAAAGACCTAAGATGAGTTGCAATTTCCCTCATTTCCATAACGTGCTCACGCACACTCCTAGAATTGCTATGCTTCATTCCTGATACTTTGTTCATTAGGGTGCTTGCCAATGCTTTGTCAGAACTAGCAAATTGCTCTTCAATAGCCCTCATATAGTTCTTGACCTTATCAGATGGTGGGATTGAGCCCCTAATGCTCTGGATGATATGTGGCTTTATGAGCATTAGGCTTAAGCGATTGGATCGCTTCCACTTATCATAAGCACTCTTTTTTGTAGCGGAACTCTCGTCCATGGATTCAGGAGGTTCATCCACATGGAGTGCTAGATCGAGGTCCATGCACCCTAATGTTAGAAGGATTTTGTCCTTCCAGTCCAAAAAATTATCACCGTTCAAGAATAGAATACGAGAAGACTCATTAGATAGTACAGAGGTAGAAATCACTACAATTACCAAGAACATTATTAATGCTTTGAAGCAATAGCTATAGTCTGAATCAACCAAAGTCAAATTCAGTAACAAATCTAAACTTTCTTGTGGGTAGAGGTCACTAAACTGTATTAGATTTGCTATTACTTTATAATAAGACTAATGGGTTCCGAAATATGTAAGGAAAAGAAAACTCATACTTGTGGGTTTAGAGTGTTCAATCCCTTTAATACCCAATCCATTATCTTATTCCAATTAAATTTCATAAATAATTATTTTCCTGTGAGACCAAGAAATTATTTATAAAACATGATTGTAATGTAAAAATGCCAAATTAATTTTTAACTTTATGTGATCAAAATACTGAGGATCACATCTTTATGTCTTAAGATGCTATAGCTACTCTTAAAACAGAATAAATTTTTTAAATATGACATAATTTATTAACGTGAGCAAATCCTTATAGTCACAACAAATACATAATCTTTCAATGCACATAATGTATAATACATACAATCAGAGTAATATCACATGAAAAGTCCCAAGACCAAACACATGTAATTCAACCTTATACTAGATTTTTCTTAAAAAATGGACCAAAATAAATTCCATAAGCCCAACACGTAGTGTATTCATACTCTTATTTCACATGAATTTTCAATGCATAAATAATTACCTTAATGCATGGAATATAATATTACATTATTTTAGATAACATGCCAATGAATCTCAAAAATTATAAAAACTAAAAGAACATTGTTAGGTCCCTGTGTTGTCAAATCCGGAGACAAAATCTTATGTTGGTTCAAAACTGTGTTTTTCTGTTTTTGTACTGTCCGCTCGAGCGGAGACTCTTGAGCTCGAGCGTAGATTAGCAGGTCACAGTAGTTTGACAGGGCAAGCACAGATTCTGGAAGGTGTGATTTGACGCTCGAGCGGAAACTCCTACGCTCGAGCGCAGCTCTGTTTCTTCGTATGCAGTTTTTGTTCAGTCCGCTCGAGCGGGCTATGTTGAGCTCGAGCGGAGATCGCGGTTGCAGATTCTTATTTAAAGCTGCTAACGTTGTTTTGTTTGTATAAACAAAACCCACTCACTCACTGAACACTTTTATAGAACCATATGGAAAAAGTGGAAGAATAGAGTTTCAAGCCTATTCTATTCACAAACAACGTCTGTGTTTGATGGCTATTACAAGCATATATATAGATAGGCTTGAACCCATATCCAAGTGTAACTCTTTATAACTTCTCACCATCAGGGAAGTTGTAAAGTCCTATGAAACCACCATATGGGATAGTGAACAGACATTAGTTACCCATTAGTCATTAAACCAATTAATTAGTCATTAAACCAATTGAATATATATAATATAAATAAATAAATAAATAAATAAAACATGTGGCATATAGGCCACTTTATGGATATTCTTACAAGCAAAACCTATCATTCAAACATTGTAAGAGTGTAGTATACTCAGGTTTCTTGATTCCTTGAGAGTGATTGTGAATCACCTAAGGTTTGCAAAGGTTTGAGGACTTGAAAAGTTTGTATAAAATCTGTGGAGGATTGCTTCATTTGTGAAGTGGTTGCTAGCACCCCTGTGAAGTTAGAAGATGGTGGAATATCTCTAGTGAATCAGTAGATGTAGGCTTGGTTGAAGTTGAACCACTATAAATTTGTTTTCCTCTTCTTCCCTAATCTCTTTACTTAACTAATATAACTATCTGATAAACATCAACTCTCATTTATTGTGATAGTTAAAATCCATTGCTAATCTATCTTAATCATTAATTGTTATTCATTTATCTATCATTAATTAATTATTTGTTATACTAGTTGATATTTTTCTTGGGGTATTATTAATTTTTATTTATAGAAATCCAATTCACCTCCCTTGGATTGCCTTTTGGGTAACAAGTGGTATCAGCACCTGGACTCTTACTTAGATTTAATTATCTAAGAGTTTTTTGATCCATGGCAACCATAGCTAGTACCAACACTGTTGAAGGTCAAGTCACCAATAGGCCACTCTTGTTGGATGGAAATAACTATAGTCACTGGAAAGATAAGATGACCCTATATCTTTAAGCCACAGATTATACTATGTGGATTATAGTCACCAAAGGTCCAAAAATCCCTGCCATATTAGTAGACAATATTAGTGTACCTAAAATCGAAGATGAATGTGATGAGAGGGATCACAGATTGTTGCAAGCCAATGCCAAAGCCAAACTCACCCTTGTATGTGGTTTAGACTCTAATAAGTATAGCAGAATATCTAATTGTGACTCTGCTAAAGAAATTTGGGACAAACTAGAAATAACTTATGAAGGAACCAACCAAGTAAAAGAATCTCGTATTGATATACTTACACTATAAGAATTTACATTGTTGGCGACCAAATTTGGTGACTAAAAGGAATTTAGTTGCCAAAAATATCACTTTTGGTGACTAAAAAATGTATTAGTCGGGGTTGGTTTAGGGTATAGCTACTAAATTTTTTTAGTTGAGATATATTAGTTATTGGTGACTATTTTTTTTTTTTTGTTGCCAAAAGTGACATTCTTGGCGACTGAAAAATGTATTTGTCGCCGTTAGTCTATATTTTAGGCTGCTAATTTTTATTTTTTAGTAGTCGTATAATAGTTTTTGGTGACAAAAGAAAAATTTAATCGCCAAATAACAGTGATATTTTTATGGTTACTCTTTGGCGACCAAACAATTTTGTCGAAAAATATTAAGTTTTGGTGACTAAAAAAAATATTAGTCATCGTATATTCATTTTTTTTTTCTGACAAAAAGAATTAGTCGCCAAATTAGTACTTTTGGCGACTAATATTTTAGTCACTGTTTATTGAGATTTGGCTACCAAAAAATTTAGTCATTATATATTACGATTTTGCGACAAAAACAAATTTAATCGCTAAAGGTGAAATTTTTATAGAGGGAAATCACTTAAAATTGGCGCCCACCCCTGTTCTTGTTTATACACAACAATTTGTTCAAACCACTCACACAGATTCTCCTTCACCACCAAACCTCACCCTACGTCACCTCACCGCAGACCACCGCCACTGCCACAGATCACCATGGCTATGGCCATCGCCACAGATTGCCACTGCCGTCGATGATCCTCCTTCGTCCTCCACTGGTGGCTCTCTCTCTCTCTCTCTCTCTCTCCTAAACACCAACCGTACCACCTCGGCTCATCCTCCTCCTCTGCTGGTGCCTCCGCCGGATCTGCGAAGATTGTTGAGATTTGAATCAGATTTGAGTCCTAGACTGAGATCTGACCGTGGTGAGCAATCTACACATATCCGTAGCCGACAGTGAAAACAGAGAGACCATGCCTAACAGTTGAGATCTGAATTAGATTCGATTTCGAGATCTAAAAATCTCTAGAGCACTCAGATCTCTGTGATTTCTGCTCTAATCAACACCTCTCTCAAAGATTTGAGTCAGATTCGATGGCGGCGAAGAAGGCTGCGATTCGGTAAGAAATGAAACCATTGTAAAAAACATAGCACTTCTTTTTTCTTTACAATTCCCTCACTGCTGTTCTTATATGATTCTCATTCCTCATTCTTCTTCCATTTTTCTCAAATCTGATTTTGTAATTTGCTTTTATGTGTTCATCCTACTATATATACTATAATTTATTACAGGTCATTGTTGGAACATTAATATATGAAGTCTGTTTGGATCAATATGGTTCAATATGCTGATCAATGTCATTGCATCATTTCTTCAGGTGCTTTTAGGCTTGTTTAGTGTATGTAATGTTTCATTTCTTGGATATCCTGTAAGAGTGTGTGCATTATTTACAACGAAGTCAGTTTGGGTTACTACGTTCATATGTTTTCTGATAATCTCTTTTTAGTTGTTCTTCCATAACACTCAAACTTCTTGTATTTTTTTCAGGCCATTTTACCTTATTCTCAAGCTCTGGAGAAGATTGCCCCTCACATTCAACAGGCATGTGTCTATCTATGCCTTCGCTGCTTGTGTACTGTCATGAAAGCTTCTTGGCAAATGCTCTTACACTTGGTAAACTACTTCAATTTAGGTTAGCATGGAGAGTAATGGGAAAAGTGTTTCAATTGATGGTGTGCCTATTCCCTATGTGACTGTTGAAATTGATTTTGGTGAACCAGGAACAACTAGCCAGCATAGCTTTTACCAATTAACTCACCAGGTAAGTTACGTCTTATGTTCCATATGTTGGTAAATAAAATTGATAATGCCCATATAAGTAGGAAATTCTCCTACCTGAACTACTTTTACCATTCGGTGCTTCTTTGAAGTTGAGGAATATTTCTTGTCTAAGGTTGGCGAGTAGTTCGAGAATGTTTTTGTTCCTCTGAACATATAGTATTAACATTTTGACCATTTGTCAAAGGTGTTATATAGAACTTGAATCGTTTAATGTCTGTGAAGAATACATACCTGATTGCTAGGTTGCTGCTGGTGAATGTATGTGCACTAGATTATGTTTAGCTTGTATATATTTTTCCGTGTTGTAAACTCTATCCTTACAACCCATCTTCTCAGAACTTTCAAGGGCGAGTAATTCCTTGTGATTTTATTGGTGTTGTGAAGAGTCAACAACCTGTGTACCTTAAGGGTACATCATTCTTTTTTCTTTTTCTTCTTTTTTTCTTTTTTTTTTTCTCCTCCCTCTCTTTGTTGGGCACAATTTCTTATCTCAGTATTACCAAAACAAGTTTACTTGAATGGCTTGGTAAAGGTGGTCTGTAGATCCCTATTTTCTTGATGGTGTTTCTATCCATTACCAAAATTTTCATTGAATTGTGTTGCAGGTGAAGTGGTTAGTAACCACGATGAACTCATGTCTAACTTTTTTGCACAACCAAATACTCTTGCTTACGGAAAGGTAAGATGGATGCTTTTCCATAACCTTGCTATTTCCCCCCATTGATATCTACTTTCAATTTTTTTTGTCTAGCCAATAGTTCTCTAAATTTCCATTTTGCTTCTGTGCAAAAAAAACAAAATATTAATAATACTAACAGTAATAATAAATGAAAAGGAACAGCCGCAACCATCATGAAGAATCCTTACGGGGATTTTGTGAAACTTTAAAGCCATGTAGCTGCATCATGAGGTGTTTGACATTATGAAAAATTTCTGCAGTGTTGATTGTTTCTTTTTGCATTTTTAATTGTGTGCATTCATATCTGGAAATCATAATATATTTTTTTTTCTATTAATTTGCCTGGTGATGCAACATCTTCCTAAAAGTGCCAGGATATTTAACTAGGGACAATTACTTGACAGTTGGGTAAGTGGAAAAAAATTATAAATTAATAAAAAAGTTTATAATATTGATTATTCATGTGTATAATGTTTTTTACTTTTTGATAAATAAGTGAAACTGACACAATGTCAGTCTAATTCTCCCATTTAACTAAATTTCAGTTTCTTGTAGACAACACAAGAGTTGCAGAATTAGAATGTTCCCCCTCATCTTATCCCTCACAAGGTAATTTTCCTCTCACTACTGTAGTCTCTTTCTTTCTGTTGAAAGTTTGTTCCTCATATTTATATTGTCCTTCATAGACCTTCTCTGGCAATCGGCCATCTTTCAGCCTTCTGCTCCCATCATTATATGCTTATAATATTGGATAGGTGAGGTCTAGTCTCACTTTTTTGTGCTTTCATGAAATAGTTTGTGAATGTTGCTAATCATTGGAGGTTTTGAGAGTTCAAATTTGTTCAAAACACCCCTTGTCTTTATAGCCCATCTAGTGGTCTAAAGTTCCCAGATGTCCATTGAGGTTACATGCATCATGTGCATAGAATCTCTGTTAAAATTGAAAAGATGATCACACTAGCTTTGATAGTGAGCAAATTCATAAGTTTTGTAAACTTAGCACTTTGGTCCCAAGTCGACCATGTGGGTGTGAACATGATTTGGCTATGGTTTACTTTTTGTTTTCCTTGGTAACATTAGGAACATATTGGATGGTTAAATAAAAAAATTAAAAGTGAGACATTATGATAAATTGCTTGCCTTGGTTTATGTCTATGTACATACTATGTTTCCTTTGTTTTCACAATTGTTTGTTCCTCTATTATTTTGATTCCTTGTTTTCTAAGTCTTAAGACTTGTAATTTTATTTCTGATTTCCCTAAAATTGGAGTAGGGTGGTGCTTTTTTCCCATTTCCATTATATTCTTTAGTTCTTTTTAGTGAAGTACCTTACCTTTCTATGTATAAATCTATGAAGGTGCCTTCAACTCCGAACTTTTGTTTAATTGGTTGTTTTGTTTTTGAATGTTGATTAAATTTATCTAGCGGATACAGATAGTTTCCTTGATTTTTCTATGTTATATATGTTTTTCTTTCCGCTCTTTTTGGTTTTGATTTTACTTTCTCCTACCATATGCCATTTGCCTATCCTTGGTTAGAAAAACCCTACACTTTTGTTAGTTTACTTTCATCTAAATTTTTTTGGAACCTGCATGTCATCCATAAAATTTTATTTTGTTGCTCCAATAGTGTACTAACATGCCACCTCAATTTAGTGTTTCCACGATGATTTCTTACCAAGAATGTTAACCCCTTGGAACATATATTTAAATTGGTCTTCTAGTGAGTTGTGTTATTTTTATATGATGACTTTGAGAAGCCTTTGAATCTTTGTTGGAGTGCTTTGTAAATTTATCTAACTTGTACATTTATATTTGTCAATGACAAGGAGATTTTAGGCGAGGGTGTGGGACAAGTCTTCCTAGTATGGAACACCGATGACACAAGAGGAAATATCAAGAGAGGTGCTTGGGAAGAAGGGATATTTAAGGAGATTTGGGATCAGCCCAAAACTCTCTTCCTTTGATTATGGTTCAAATGGTGCAGCACAACGAGAAGTGGAGATGCAAAGACTTCAGATCCGAGGTGGAGATTACTTTGGCATGAAACATATTACTATTGGCGTGGTATAGATTACTAGTGGATATTTCTTTTTTGTGTACGGAGGACATGGTTTTTGTATGATTTTCTATTTGTATGGAATTATTATTTTATGTTGGATTATATTTAGTTTATATGGAATTTGACATTAAAAGACTAGATTTTTGGATGGTTGGAAGTGAAATAGAAACAGGTATATGTATCGTTTTGTTTATATATAGGTTACAGGTTGCACGAAATAAATACAGGTTGTGGAGAAATTAATAGTAATAAAAAAAACAATAAATAAAGTTTTTGGCGACTACAAGTTTAGTAGGCAAAAAAAAAAAAAAAGTGAACTTTTTGGCGACTAACCAATTGGTAGCTGAAAAGGACATCAATATTTTTAGCGACTAAATATTTGCTAACCAGCAAGAAACCAAAGATTTTTGCAGATTAAAAATTTATTAGTCCAAAATATATGAGACTTTAAGCGACTAAATAATAGCTAAAAAAAATAAGATGAAAATAATTTCTTTTGGCAACTAAATAGTTTAGTAGTTGAAAAAATAAGATAAAAAATAATTTTTTTGGCAACTAAATATTTAGTAGTCAAAAATAAATGAAACTTTGGGTGACGAAATAGTTAGTAGCAACAAATAAAATAAAATAAAATAAAAATATTTCGGTGACTAAATTATTTGGTCCCTAAATGTAGTAATATTGTGACTACAACTTATCCATGACTAAAAGTTTTAGTTGTTGAAAAATAAAATTAATTTTATTTCAAACCTTTGGCGACTAAATATTTAGTCGCCAATTTATGATTTTTGGCTACTAAAAAACATTTAGTTGCCAATACTTTTCCTGACAATTACTCAATGACCAATTTGGTGGCCAAAAAATTTAGTCGTTAAAAACCTTTGGCGACTACAACTTGGTGACTACATCTTGACCTTTGGCGACTAAAAATTTAGTCGTCAAAAATGCCATTTCTTGTAGTGTTAATTTGTAGTTATGAATTATTTAAAATAAAATCTGATGAATCTATTTTAAGCATGTTTACTAGATTTATTGAAATTATAAATTATTTGAAATCTCTTAGCAAAATCTATACTAACAGTGAGTTGGTGAGAGAAATTCTTATGTGCTTACCAAAGAATTAGGAAGCTAAAGTCACAGCCATTATTAAAGCAAAGAACCTCACAACTCTGGGATTAGATGAGCTCATTGGTTCTCTTATGACTCATGAAATCGCTATGAAATGACATGAGAATGATGAGAGTAAAAAGAAAAATGGAATTGCATTCAAAGCCTCATCTCATGAAGACTCTAGTGAAGATGAAGGATATGTCATGTTTAGTAGAAATCTCAAAAAGTATAACAAGAAAAACAATCATGGAGCAAGAAGACCTTTCAAGAAAGAGTACAACAAAGATGACATCAAAATATCATTTGCTATGAGTACAAAAATCTGGGACACATGAAGATGGATTGTCCAAAATTGAAGAAAGTTAGAAAAGACTACAAAAGGAACAAGAAAGCCATGGTAGCAGCTTGGAGAGGAAGTGATGATAGCTCAAATGATGAAGTTGAAAATAATGAAGTAGCCAACCTATGTCTCATGGCTCTAGGAGAAGAAGAATCCACTCAAGATGAGGTAACCTTTAATTATGAAGATCTTGAGAGTGCTTTCAATGAATTACAAGATGAATTTAGAACAGTATGTGCCAAAAATGATGTGTTAAAGAAATATGTTGCATCTTTATCTGACAATGTGGATGAATTGAAGAAGAGAATATTACTTTGAAAAATGATTTTGTCACTGTCTCTAATGAGAAAGATGTTTTGAAAAACAGTGTTAGTGCTTTGAACAAAACTCTTGAAAATTTTGTAAAACGAAGAGAAAATCTCAACATGCCTCTTGGAAATCAAAGAAGCGTTTTTTGATAAGGCGAGCATTGGATATGACCCTATTAAGAAACAAAAGAATCTCAAAACAATCTTTGAAAAAGCACCTTTAATGATACATCCTCACATTACTTGTCATTATTGTATGAAGAAAGGCCACTATATATCTACTTGTCCATTCAATAAGAATATGAACATGGGAATTAAAAAGATTTGGATTGTTAAGGGAACTAACTAAACTAACCAAGATGGACCAAAGAAATCATGGGTACCAAAATCCAACATTTGATTATTATTTTGTAGGTATGCCTTAAGTCTAAAGAAAAAGAAGGGAGGTGGTACCTTGATACTAGATGCTCTAGACACATGACCGGAGATAAATCTTTCTTCATTCCTTTATCATCTAAAGATGGAGGCTTTGTCACTATCGGAGACAACAAGAAAGGAAAAATTATTGGTATTGGTCGTATCGGTATTTCTCCTAACGCTTCTACTAAAAATGTTCTCCTTGTAGATGGACTTAAGCATAACTTATTTAATATTTGCCAATTATGTGATAAAGGAAATCGAGTTATTTTCGATAAATCACGTTGCACAATTGAAATCACAATTGATCACAAAACACTATTTGTTGGAAATCGCCATGATAATATTTATGTTTTTCATCTCAAAGATCTCTATGCTAGTATGTTAAATGTTTATATGCTAGTAATGATAGTAGTTGGTTATGGCATACAAGACTTGGTCATGCTCACATGGATTTAATTGCTAATTTTTTTAGAAAGGATTTGTTTGTTGGACTTCCAAAAATTAAATTTGAAAAAGAACGACTTTGTGGTGCTCGTCAACAAGGAAAACAAACCAAAACTACTTTTAAATCAAAATCTTTTATTTCCACCGCTAGACCTTTACAATTATTGCATATGGATTTATGTGGTCTCTCAAGGACATCTAGTCTTGCTGGTAAACATTATTGTCTTGTAGTTGTTGATGATTTTCAAGATTTACGTGGGTTATGTTTTTAGCACCCAAAGATGAACCTTTCTCTTCTTTCACCAAACTTTGTCGCAAAATTCAAAATGAAAAATGTTTTCTTATTACTAATATTTGCACTGACCATGGTAAAGAACTTGAAAATGAAAATTTTGAATTATTTTGTGATAAGCATGGTATTGGACATAATTTTTTAGCACTTAGAACCCCTCAACAAAATGGTGTAGCAGAAATGAAAAATAGAATCTTAGAAGAAATGAGTAGAACACTGCTTTGCGAAAATAATCTTCTTAAATATTTTTGAGTCGAGGCCGTTCACACCGCATGCTATATTTTAAATTATGCCTTGATTAGACCTATTCTCTAAAAGACCCCTTATGAAATTTTGAATGGCAGAAAGTCCAACATTAGTCACTTACATGTTTTTGGTTGTAAATGTTATGTGCATAATAATGGTAAGGATAGCTTGGGTAAATTTGATTCAAAATTTGATGAAGGAATTTTTCATGGCTATTCTTTGACTAGTAAAGCTTATCGTGTTTTTAACAAAAGAACATTTGTTGTTGAAGAATCTATATATGTTGCATTTGATGAAGCTTATATTTCTTCTCCAAAGCAAGTGGTTAATAATGATCTTGTAGAATTGTAAACTAGTGAGAAAGAATCAAGCATCGACAAAGAAAGGGATCAACCATGTGAAGTGAACAAAGAAGATAAACAACCTATTCTCCCTCCTCAGAAAGAAGGTGGAAACAATGATGATTTTCCAAAAGAATGGAAGTTTGTTCATAATCATCCTAAGGATTTAATCCTAGGTGATCCTACCAAAGGTGTTGCCACTCGCTCCTCATTTAGAAATATGTGTGGTAATTTAGCTTTTCTTTCACAAATTGAGCTAAAGAATTTTCAAGAAGCCTAATTCGATGAACATTAGATGATGTCTATGCAAGAAGATATCAACCAATTTGAGAGAAACAAAGTTTGGAATTTAGTGCCAAGACCTAAAGATCACTATATTATTGGTACATAATGGATCTTTAGAAACAAACTTGATGAATCCGGCACTATTGTTAGAAATAAAGCTAGACTTATTGTTCAAGAGTACAATCAAGAAGAAGGTATTGATTTCTATGAAACCTTTGCTCCGATTGCTAGATTAGAAGCCATTCGTATGTTACTTGCATTTGCATGTTATAGAGATTTTAAACTTTATCAAATGGATGTAAAAAGTTCTTTTCTAAATGGTTTTATAAATGAGGAAGTTTATATCAAACAACTTCTTGGTTTTGAAAATCATGTTTTTCCAAATCATGTGTTTAAACTCTCAAAAGCTTTATATGGTTTGAAATAAGCACCTCCTGCATGGTATGAATGTTTGAGCAAATTTTTGATTGTAAATGGTTTTACTAGAGGAAAGATTGATACGACACTTTTTGTTAAAACCAAAAACAATGATTTACTTATTGTACAAATATATGTGGATGACATTATATTTGGTGCTACTAATGAAACCTTGTATAAGGAATTTGCTAAGTGTATGAAAGGTGAGTTTGAGATGAGCATGATGGGGGAGCTAAATTATTTCCTTGGACTTCAAATTAAACAATGTAAGGAAGGCATTTACATGAACTAAGCTAAGTACAAAAAGGAACTACTCAAAAAGTTTGGGATGTATGACTGAAAAATAGTCGGAACACCTATGAACACATCAATTAAGCTAGACAAGGATGAAAAGGGTAAGTCTATTGAGCAAACAAAATATCGAGGTATGATCGGCTCATTTCTCTATTTAACCACAAGTAGACTAGATATTATGTTTAGTGTTTGCATGTGTGCTAGATATCAATCAAATCCTAAGGAATCACACATTAGCGCTATTAAAAGAATTTTTAGATATTTTGTTGGTACTCAAAATTTGGGACTGTTTTATCATAGAGGTGTTGCTTTTGATTTAATTGGTTACTCGAATGTTGACTTTGCCGGGTGCAAACTTGATAGAAAAAGCACTAGCGTTACTTGTCACTTCCTTGGTAACTCATTGCTATTTTGGTTTGGCAAAAGTTATGTTGCTTTATCAATGGCCAAAGCTGAATACATAGCTTCCGGAAGTTGTTATGCCCAAGTACTATGGATGAAACAACAATTGGAGGACTTTGATTTGCATTATGATTATATTCCTATTAATTGTGATAATACTAGTGCTATCAACTTAAGCAAAAATCCGGTTCAATACTTACGAACAAAACATATTAAAATTCGACACCACTTTTTAAGAGATTATGTTCAAAAAGGGAATATTGTTCTTGAATTTATAAACACTGACAATCAATTGGCCGATATTTTCACAAAATCTCTAAGCGAGGAACGCTTCA